CCGCTGAGGAGGCGCGAGCCCCGGCCGGGCCTCCCCGCGCCGGACCATGTACTCAGCCCACAGGCCGCTGGTGCCCGCGTCCGGTGCGGCCTCGCGTGGCCTCGGCATGTTCGGTCAGTATCGCCCGCAACCCCGGAACTGCAGGGGTCAAGGTGTCAGAGTGATAAGTGCGGACTAACGGTGATGGGGGCTCAGTATGAGAATGGTAGAGGCAGAGCAAAGGGGAAAGTTCCGCAGGCGGGCCGAGTGGTTAGTGACAGCAGGTGGGGAGCCGAGCGAATTGGAATGAGGAATGGGGAGTACCTGGGTGTAGTTGATGTAGGTGATGAGCTATACCGGGCCTGTTGTAAGTGGAGGTGCCAGCTGCAGAGTAACTGGCTTTCGGGGCCTGGATGGGAATAGGAGCAGCATAGGACCCGCTAGGCTGAAATGGAGTGGGGTGGGGGCGGTGATTGAGAAGGGAGGCTAAGGACAGGGCTGGGGAAATGTGTGAGGCACGATTTGCTCAGAACAGAGTGATGGGCCCGAGTGTTTGGGGTGTGCTTTGCAGAGAGGAGGGAGAGAGATTGGAGGAACCTGGAGGGTGATTCACTGGTGAGTGAGGTCAGGAGAGAGTAGATTCAAAGAACTGCCCCTGTATTGTCTGTTGGGCGCTAGGCTCTTTCTTCCCCATCCCCCTAGAAGATGAGGAGGCCCTGTTGAGAGAGATCTTTGTGAAGAGAAGAACAGGTTCAGGTCCCTGGGCAATGTTATGTGGCTGGAGAGCCTGACAGGCTTTTGGGCCCCCAGTGCCCCAGGACTAGGGGATGGGGTCATCACAGGGTCATGAGTGTCTTCCAGGACTGTCTTTCTTATTCTTTTCTGGTTTGTTTCCTTGGTTTACCTTTTTCTGTGTGAACCCCTCACAGAATCAGGTGTCAAGGCCAGTGCCTAACACAGAGCTCCCCCAGTCCAATCTTCTGAAGGCATGGAGGGGGAGGGTCACTCCAGGTCAGGTTGATCTGGAACAGGGGGAGGCCTGGAGTGATGGAGACCAGGGCTAGGGCGTTTCCCTCCTCTTTTCTTAGTTCTCCCCTTAGTAGGGGCCTCCTCTGCTGGTTCCACTTCCCCCAGGAGCCAGGCAGTGAGAGGGGAAGCCCAGTCGTAGCTAAGGCCGCCCCAGGAGCCTAGCCAGGGGTGGGTCTCAGCCCAGGGCTTTCCCTCCGACCACCCAGCTTCTGGAGCTGAAGGTGAGAACCTTCTTGTGCATATTTTTAAGGAAACATCTGGCACTTATTCTTTCCTTGGGCATAGACTTGGAACAATTCTTTTTGCCCATTGTCTCTGTCTTATTTTTCCAGGAGTTCGCACCCTCCCCTCTTTCTGGGCAAGGGGGCAGGACGGGGGTTAGACTAAAGATAAGATAGGTTTAGCCGGACGGAGGCTGGGAGGCCTCTTCAGGGGTGGTGGTTTCTCTTTGGTGGAGGATGTTGGAGCCACCTGTGCTCAGCCCAGGAAGGGCAGGTCTGACTCCCTGGGGTCTGTGTTAGGAGAAGGGAGGCAAGGAGAAAGACCTGAGACCCCATACCCCATGGGTAATAGGTAGACATTCGGGAGGGAAGATAAGGCCATCTGCCTCGGAAAGGGAAAGGGGGTGTGGGGCCAAGGTGAGGGGCTGAGGCAGTCTGGGAGAGAGGGTGCTGGGAATGTGGCACGGCTGGGGAGGGGTCCCTAGCATGGCTGAGGTCTTGGGGCCTTGGGAGTATGGGATGGCAGCCAGGCACGACCTGGTTTGTGGCAGGAGCCGATCGTTTCTCTAGCCTGGTCCCTGGTGGCAGGGCTCGCGGGGGGATGGGGCGTGAGTACTATTTTCCTTCCCTGTTTCTGTTTTCTTTTTTATAAACCTAGAAATTTTTCAGGGAAGAGATTTTCCTGAGTGACATTGCATGGACGTGTTTAAGTGGCTTTGTGATTGGGGAAGGGGTGTAGAGAAGGGTTGGAGCCACCTTCTCCAGGGTGGGGAAGAGCTTGAGTTTGGGGGTCAGGGCCAAGATCCCCTGCTGCCCAGCTCACCTGGCTCTTTTCCACAGTGTGGACGAACGTGGAACCTCGCTCTGTGGCTGTGTTCCCCTGGCACTCCTTAGTCCCCTTCCTGGCCCCCAGCCAGCCTGACCCCTCCGTGCAGCCGAGCGAGGCCCAGCAACCTGCCAGCCACCCAGTGGCCTCCAACCAGAGCAAAGGTGAGGGGTGGGGGACTATGGGAACCCATATGGGTGGGGTCAAGGTGGCCCAGGGGCCCTCTGATGCGCTTCTCTGTCCCCAGAACCTGCTGAGTCGGCAGCTGTTGCTCATGAGCAGCCACCCGGTGGGACAGGAAGTGCTGACCCTGGGCGGCCCCCTGCAGCCACATGTCCTGAGAGCCCAGGGCCCGGACCCCCACACACTTTGGTGGTGGTGGAACCTGGCAAGGGTCCCCCTCCCACTACGGAAGAGGAGGCCCCTGGCCCCCCAGGAGAGTCCCGGCTGGACAGCGAGACAGAGAGTGACCATGATGATGCGTGAGTGCACTGAGGCCTGGGACTGAGGGGCGGGGCGGCCAGAGACACGGTTCTCACTCTTTCTGTCTCCCCTACCACAGCTTTCTCTCCATCATGTCCCCTGAGATCCAGTTGCCTCTGCCGCCTGGTAAACGCCGGACCCAGTCCCTCAGTGCCCTGCCCAAAGAACGGGACTCGTCTTCTGAGAAGGATGGGCGCAGCCCCAACAAGGTGCCGCATCCCTGCCTGTCTCTGCTCGCCTTGTGCACCCTTCCCCCAAGGCTCTCTCCTTGGCCCTAACCATCCCCTCTTGGGGCTCTGTCCACCACAGCGGGAGAAGGACCATATCCGGAGGCCTATGAATGCCTTCATGATCTTCAGCAAGCGACACCGGGCCCTGGTCCACCAGCGTCACCCCAACCAGGACAACCGGACCGTCAGCAAGATCCTGGGCGAGTGGTGGTATGCCCTGGGGCCTAAAGAGAAGCAGAAGTATCACGACCTGGCCTTCCAGGTAACGCTCTCTACTCCTGGGGCCGCCCTGGCTTCCACTGGTGGAGCGCGTAAGTGAGGGGTCACCCTGCCCTCTCCTGCCAGGTGAAGGAGGCCCACTTCAAGGCCCACCCAGACTGGAAGTGGTGCAACAAGGACCGAAAGAAGTCCAGCTCGGAGGCCAAGCCCACTAGCCTAGGGCTGGCTGGAGGGCACAAGGAGACCCGGGAGCGAAGCATGTCAGAGACGGGCACTGCTGCCGCCCCTGGAGGTTAGTCCGCCAGCCCCTTGGTGCTCCCGCCCTACCTACTCCCTCCTGAAGAGCTACCAGCTACTCCTTCACTTCCTCACTTCTGGCCCTGGCAGCTCCTCTCTGGCCAGTTCTTTTTATCCGAGGGCTCTTACCACAAAGAAAGTGGCAATTTTTTTACGTGGAGGAGCCTGGGAGGTCCAGACAGATAAAACTCCCAAACGATAGTTTCATCACCAGCTGCCCATTTATTGAGCACTTCCTACGTCTCAGGCGTAAAAAGGAATAGCATCTCTTGGTACTCAAAACCACATACCATTTTCCTGATAAGGTCTTTGAGGCTCAGAGAGATAAAGTCTCTTGTTTGAAGTCATAGAACTAGAAAATGCAGAGCCAGGATTTAAACCCCCGCTGGTCTAGCTCCCACGATTCTAGTTGGAACCGCTGTAGCTAATAACACCCTTGGCAGGCCACTCCTATTCATTGAGGGTATCTGGTGTGTTCGGCACTGTTGTAGGGTATTTTTCTGAAGTGGTTTTGTGGCTATAGCCCCACCACTTGATGCCTCTCTGAGATGAGGGAACCGAGGCTGACAGGCCAGGGGTTGGTTACCTAGAGCCACATGATCTATTTCCAGGCTCTTGCACTCTTGGAAGGGCTGCTTCCCAGTGAGGAATGGGCTTGCTTTTTGCCACCCCAGAGGGCAGGACCCAGCAGGGAGGAGATGCTGGGCTGGCAGGTGGAGTCTCTTTCCCACCAGGTGACCCAGGAACGCCAGCCTGCTTCTGCCCAGCACTAGAAGTATCTGGGGGAGCCTCCGCCAGTCCGGGTGCTGGTGAGAGACTCCTGACTCCTCCCATTTACTCTACAGTGTCATCAGAACTCCTGTCTGTGGCAGCCCAGACACTCTTGAGCTCGGACACCAAGGCTCCAGGGAGTGGCTCCTGCGGGGCAGAACGGCTGCACACAGTTGGGGGGCCTGGCTCAGCCCGGCCCCGTGCCTTCTCCCACAGTGGGGTCCACAGCCTAGACGGCAGGGAAGCAGACAGCCAGGCACTGCAAGAGCTGACTCAGGTCTGGGGTGCAGGCCCCCTGGGGGCAGTGCGGGGAGGCCTGCCCAAGGTGGCAGCCCTGGCTGAGCCTCTCTGCCACCTGCCCTGCAGATGGTGTCCGGTCCGGCATCCTACTCTGGCCCAAAGCCCACCACCCAGTATGGGGCTCCAGGCCCCTTCACGGCTCCTGGTGAGGGGGGCACCCTGGCGGCCAGTGGGCGGCCCCCACTGCTGCCCACCCGAGCTTCTCGTTCCCAGCGGGCAGCCAGTGAGGACATGACCAGTGATGAGGAGCGCATGGTCATCTGTGAGGAAGAAGGGGATGATGATGTCATTGGTGAGCAGAACAGGGCCTGGAATCCTGTGCAGGGACCTTGGCTGAGGCTGGGAGGGTGGGGGGAGATTTGATCTAGGTCCCCAGGCCCCGTTTTGTTCTCTTTCATGTTTATTCACAATTAGTTGTATTTTGAGTTGAGGTCCTTGAGGAAGGAAACCCAGGCAGGAAACCCGGAAGACACAGGTGGGACTAGGCCATTAGACGCAGTGTTAGTTGCTCTCACTCCCTTTAGGCAGGGGTTTCACCTCGAGGTTCCCGGACAACACTTGGGGCAGAGCTGAGGCCAGAGCCCTGGCTCCAGACTGTTCCTCACGGACAGTCCTGCACCCAGCCCCTCTGCTGACCCGGTTCTCTCTGCTCCATTAGCTGACGATGGTTTCAGCACCACTGACATTGATCTGAAGTGCAAGGAGCGGGTGACTGACAGCGAGAGTGGAGACAGCTCTGGGGAGGACCCTGAGGGCAGCAAGGTGAGTGGCACTGTCCTGTCAAACTCACTCCCAGCAGGGGGAAGAACTGCTCCACCTGTGGTGGAGATTCAGGCCCAGAGAGGGCAAACTAGTTGCCCTGTGGGGAACTGGGTTCCAGCCAGGATGAATTGAGGCCTTCAGCTGGTGCAGGGTTAGGCCGGCATGGCTGACAGGCAGATGGAGGTGGGTGGGGTGTGGCTACCGAAGTGCCTAGGTTCCGCTGACGTGTGTGACTCCCTTCTTTCTCCACCTAGGGCTTTGGCCGGAAGGTGTTCTCGCCTGTGATCCGTTCTTCCTTCACGCACTGCCGTCCACTCCTGGACCCTGAGCCCCCCGGGCCGCCGGATCCACCTGCAGCCTTTGGCAAGGGCTACGGCCCCACCCCATCCTCCTCCTCGTCCTCGCCTGCCTCTGCCTCTACCTCTGCAGCCACCTCCTTCTCCCTGGGCTCAGGAACCTTCAAGGCCCAGGAGTCAGGGCAGGGCAGCACAGCAGGCCCACTACGGCCCCCGCCCCCTGGGACTGGGGGACCATTGACACCTTCCAAGGCCACCCGGTTCCTCCCAACGGATCCTGCCACCTTCCGACGCAAGAGACCTGAAAGCGTGGGGAGCTTGGAGCCACCAGGCCCCTCGGTTATTTCGGCACCTCCCAGCGGGGGAGGGAACATCCTGCAGACACTGGTCCTGCCTCCAAACAAGGAGGACCGGGAGGGCAGCAGAGCCCGCATGCCCTCGGCCCCGGCCCCATCGCTGGTCTACGGGGCCCCGGCAGCCCCCCTGTCCCGCCCAGCCGCCACCATGGTCACCAACGTGGTGCGGCCTGTCAGCAGCACTCCTGTGCCCATTGCCTCTAAGCCCTTTCCCACCTCCAGCCGGGCTGAGGTGTCTCCAAATGACACGGCGGGTGCCAGGACTGAGACGGGCACTGGGTCCCGGGCTCCTGGGGGCTCCCCGCTGGGCGTCAGCTTAGTGTATTCGGACAAGAAGTCGGCAGCAGCCACCTCACCAGCCCCACACTTGGTGGCTGGGCCCCTGCTGGGCACTGTGGGAAAGGCACCTGCCGCTGTCACCAACCTGCTGGTGGGCACCCCAGGTTATGGGACCCCTGCGCCCCCTGCTGTCCAGTTCATTGCCCAGGGGGCCCCTGGCAGTGGGGCTACTTCGGGCTCTGGGACAGGTGCTGGGAGTGGCCCCAATGGGCCAGTGCCCCTGGGCATCCTGCAGCCAGGTGCCCTGGGCAAGCCTGGGGGAATCACCCAGGTGCAGTACATCCTGCCCACACTGCCCCAGCAGCTTCAAGTGGCGCCTGCCCCAGTAGCAGCTCCTGGGACCAAGGCAGCAGCTCCTGGCGCTCCTGCACCCACCACCAGCATCCGTTTTACCCTCCCACCGGGCACCTCCACCAATGGCAAGGTCCTGGCTGCCACTGCACCCACTCCTGGCATTCCTATCCTGCAGTCCGTACCTTCTGCTCTGCCCCCCAAAGGTAAGGCCTGAGCCAGGCAGTACAAGGAGAATGGCCAGAGTCCTGTTTAGCTCTCGTGTAACTTTTTCCTGCTTGTCTCTTAACTTCTAGCCCAGTCGGTGTCTCCCGTGCAGGCCCCACCCCCGGGTGGCTCAGCCCAGCTGCTGCCTGGGAAGGTACTAGTGCCCCTGGCAGCCCCTAGCATGTCAGTGCGGGGTGGAGGGGCCACCCAGCCACTGCCCTTGGTGAGCCCGCCCTTCTCGGTACCTGTGCAGAATGGTGCCCAGCCACCCAGCAAGGTGAGGACACCCTGGCTGTGTCCCCCACCTTTTTCTCCACCTTCTGGGGATTTGTCCATGTGGCTTCTGCATTTCTCACCTTTCATCTTTATTAATCTCTTTCTTTGAGTGTCTTCTCCATTTCTGTTTCTGGGGCTTTGTTTTCTTCGATGTTTTGGTGCATCCTGTTTCCCTTCTCAGTTCTGTCTTCGTGGTCTCTATTTTCTTCTCTCTCTGTTCCCTTGCTTTTCACTGTCTTCTTTCCTCCGTTTGTCTCTTCCATTGTGTTGTGATCCCAAATAGTGCCTTTCTTGTCATTGCTTAGAGCCACCCGTCGAGGTCTCGGTTCTCCTCTGCCCCATCCCAGGGCCCCAGCTCACTCCCGCCCGTGGGTGCTCTCGCCCGCAGATCATCCAGCTGAGGCCAGTGCCAGTGAGCACACCCAGCGGCCTGGTGCCGCCCCCGAGCCCGGCTGCACTGCCTGGACCCACCTCTCAGCCCCAGAAGGTCCTGCTGCCCTCCTCCACCAGGTAATTGCTTTGAGCTCGTCACCCCCAGAAGCCAGTCCAGAGAACAGGTGGGTGGGCCGGCTTGCCTCACTCGTCCCCCTTTTCTCTCCCCGTGGCAGAATCACCTACGTGCAGTCAGCAGGCGGGCACGCGCTGCCCCTGGGTACCAGCCCTGTGTCCAGCCAGGCTGGAACGGTCACCTCATACGGGCCCACGAGCTCTGTAGCCCTAGGCTTCACCTCGCTGGGGCCCAGCGGCCCCGCCTTCGTGCAGCCCCTGCTCTCAGGTGAGGGGCAGCCTGGCAGGCAGGGCTGGGAACCCAGGGTGGGACAGGGGCAGTCCAGGCCCTGACTCTTGGTGCCCTCCCTTTCCTTTTCTCTCCGTCTCAGCAGGCCAAACCCCACTGCTGGCTCCTGGCCAAGTGGGCGTGTCACCTGTCCCCAGCCCCCAGCTGCCTCCTGCCTGCGCCGCCCCTGGAGGGCCCGTCATCACGGCGTTTTACCCTGGCAGCCCCGCACCCACCTCCTCAGCACCCCTGGCCCAGCCGTCCCAGGCCCCCCCAGGCCTGGTCTACACTGTGGCCACCAGCACCACCACCCCTGCTGCTGCCATCCTGCCCAAGGGCCCACCGGCCCCTGCCACTGCCACCCCAGCCCCCACCAGCCCCTTTCCTAGTGCCACAGGTGGGTGTCAGGCCAACCCAGGGCAGGGTGAGTTGGGGGACCCACGGGGTGGGCTCCAGTCAGGCCTGGCTCAGTGAATGCTTTTTTCTCACCAGCAGGCTCCATGACTTACAGCTTAGTGGCCCCCAAGGCCCAGCGGCCAACCCCCAAGGCCCCTCAGAAAGTGAAGGCGGCCATCGCCAGCATTCCCGTGGGCTCCTTCGAGGCAGGTGCCCCTGGGCGGCCTGGCCCTGTACCCCGGCAGCCCCTGGAGCCTGGCCCAGCCCGTGAGCCAACTGCCCCTGAGTCTGAGCTTGAGGGGCAGCCAACAACTCCAGCCCCTCCACCACCCCCAGAGACCTGGGCTCCCACAGCCCGGAGCAGCCCCCCGCCGCCCCTGCCTGCTGAGGAGCGGACCAGCATCAAGGCCCCTGAAGCCACAGTGAGAACATGGCAGGCAGTCGGTGGCGGGCTCCCGTTTGATGTTGGTTCTGCTTCTTTGTCCGATGTCTTTGTCTTTCTCTTCTGCTCTTTTTCCCTGTCTCTGGGGTTAAAGGCCTCTTCCCTGCTGTCCCCTCTGCGTGTCTGTGTTGTACCCTTTCCTATTTGAGGTCCTTGTCTTGGTCTTCACAAGTCTGTGTGACTGGGTCTTTTTCACGAGTCCGTGTGTCTGGCTAACTTGGCATCCATCTCTGTTTCTGGGCTGTGTCCTTGCCCACTGCTTGTCCTAGTGAGTCTGAATCTCGTGTTCTCTGTCTCCCTGCCCATCCCAACCTCAGGCCAGCAAATTCCCTAGCTCATCCTCAGACTGGCGAGTCCCTGGGCTGGGCCTGGAGAGTCGTGGGGAGCCTCCCACCCCTCCGAGCCCAGCCCCGGCTCCGGCCGCTGGTGGCATCATTGGCAGCAGCGAGGGCAACAGCGGGAGGGCGACCGGGGAGACCCCCGAGCGCAAGGAGGTGGCTAGTACCGGCAAGAAGGTGAAGGTGCGGCCCCCGCCCTTGAAGAAGACCTTTGACTCTGTGGACAAGTGAGCATGGCCCAGGGGCCCTGGTGGATTGTGTGGGGTTGGTAGGAGAGTGGGCAGCTGCAGGTTGGGGCAGGGGAGGTGACCCTGCGGGCTCTCCAGCAGGGTCCTGTCAGAGGTGGACTTCGAAGAGCGCTTTGCTGAGCTGCCTGAATTTCGGCCTGAGGAGGTGCTGCCCTCTCCTACGCTGCAGTCTCTGGCCACCTCGCCCCGGGCCATCTTGGGCTCCTACCGCAAGAAGAGGAAGAACTCCACCGGTAGGCGAGTGCTAGTCATCCGGGTTAGGTTGGGGAATAGACGGGGCCACCTCCTCTGAGCCTGCCTCTATTTGACCAGACCTGGACTCGGCACCCGAGGACCCCACCTCGCCCAAGCGCAAGATGAGGAGACGCTCCAGCTGCAGCTCTGAGCCCAACACCCCCAAGAGTGCCAAGTGCGAGGGCGACATCTTCACCTTTGATCGGACAGGTACAGGCGCTAAGCAGCAGAGCTGTGGGGACCTAGGGCCTGCAGAGGGGTGGGCATAGGGTTAGAGGGGAAGAGGTGGAATGGGTGTCCATGAGAGTGGGAAGACAGCAGGTTAAAGGTGGTCTGGAGGCCAGCAGTCCCCTAAGTTGCAGTCTGACCTTCGGTGGGTTCCCTCTTTTTGTCTCCCTTCAAAACGGACTTTAGGGAGGACTTGGGTGCTCAGGCTGCTGCTGTAGCTTCACCCTGCTTGAGTGTCTGCCCTGCTTCCAGGTACAGATGCCGAGGATGTGCTCGGGGAGCTGGAGTATGAGAAGGTGCCGTACTCGTCGCTGCGGCGCACCCTGGACCAGCGCCGGGCCCTGGTCATGCAGCTCTTCCAGGACCACGGCTTCTTCCCCTCAGGTGAGCCTGTCTCACAGCTGGACAGCCAGGCCCGGGCAGAGGGAGCACCTGGGTGGGCCCTGACTGCACACCTCACCCTGCCTACCCCAACCCCCATGCCCTTCTGTCTGTTCTCAGCCCAGGCCACAGCAGCCTTCCAGGCTCGCTACGCAGACATCTTCCCCTCCAAGGTTTGTCTGCAGCTGAAAATCCGTGAGGTGCGCCAGAAGATCATGCAGGCGGCTACTCCCACGGAGCAGCCCCCGGGGGCTGAGGCCCCACTCCCCGGACCGCCCCCCACTGGCACCGCTGCTGCCCCTGCTCCCACGCCCAGCCCTGCTGGGGGCCCTGACCCCACCTCACCTGGCTCGGACTCCGGCACGGCCTCGGCCGCCCCACCACTGCCTCCACCCCCAGAGCCGGGGCCCGGACAGCCTGGCTGGGAGGGGGCCCCCCAGGCCTCCCCTCCACCCTCCGGCTCCTCCACAGCTGCCACAGGCAGGTGAGGGGTTCCTGAGAAGATCCCAGGACCCACAGTGCCCCCCTCAGGACATGGACAGTATGTAGGTGGCAGGATGGTTACCTCCCCCCCAATAAAGCCATTTCGTCCTTTCCAGTTTGGGGCGGAATGAGGCCTGCTCCTCTTGTATATAGCCTCTCCCCCCACAGCTCCCTCCCTGTGATGGGGGGCAGCTGAGGGGAGGCAGGGGCCCCATCTCCCCGCACCGAGCCCCTGTACATATCCTGGAGTGTGTTACCTTCAGAACTTTTTCACTTGTACTTTATGCAAAATGGCTCGTGTGAGGGCTGCAAGCTGGAGGGTAGTGTGGGCCTTGGGCCACAGGAAGGCACCTGTGGAGTAGGGGGGGAGTTCATGCACCCCTTTTTTCCCCAGAGGGGCTGGACTCAGGTTAGTTTGGGGGTAGGGGCTCCTGCACTTTGCCACAGGCATGGGGAGGGTTCTCTCCCCACCCCCTCTGCCTTCCCAACTCGGGTTGTACTTTCTAAGAAGGTGATTCCCCCTACCCTCGCCCCCACCCCAGAACAAAACATGTTGATCATGTGCAATATTTCTTACTGTGCCGAAGCCGCAATGACCGAGATTAAAGCTGTTTAACACACCTGTGTGGCCGCCCACTTTAAAGGGGAGGGGTGCTTGTGCCAGTGCTGTCGCCAGAGGGCTGTGGAGCACTACACTTTCCATGAAGCACAGGGTGAGAAAGTACACATGGACCCAGCAATCCCAGGCTCCCTGTGCCCCTCCCCCCATCAGAGGGGACTGGGGGTTGATGACCCTTACTAGGAGCCAGGCAGCCCCTCTCCAGCCTGGGAGCTCTGATCCCAAAAAGTGCTCCGGGAGAGTTCCACAATGCCTGCTCTGGTCCTCTCTGAGCCATCCAACATGCATTAGCTTGGGGAAGGCCTGAGACGTGGTGCCAAGGAAGGCCACTAGTTGCCATCCAGTCAGTCCCAACTCATGGCAACCCTGTGTGTGTCGGAGTAGAACTGTGCTCCTTAGGGTTTTCAGTGGTTGATTTTTGGGAAGTAGATTGCCAGGCCTTTCTTCCAGGGTGCCTTTGACTGGACTTGAATCTCCACCCTCTGGGTTTGCATGTTAACTGTTTATACTACACAGGAACTCCTGCTGGGGAAGACATTTTACCCCTATTGGCCTGAGAGTCGTCCACTAAAGAAAGGGCTCTGAGAGGTCATAGCCCAGAGGTGGCAATAGGTGAGAAGGCCAGTCCACCTGAGTACTGTGCTGAGTAACCCCTGCTGCCCCCGTGTGGCTTGAGCCAGCACTGCAACCAGGCCAGAAGGTGCTTCTAGTGGGTTACACCCCTCCCGCTCACAGTGCTTACCTGAGTCTCCTACCTTGGGAGACATACCCTGTGTGGAGTGATGACACCTGGGGGTGGGAAGGTCAGGAAGCCTCTGAGGGAGGTGGCATCTAAGCTGGGACCAGAGCACCAGGAGGTTCCAGCCGTATGCAATAGTGAGGGACAGCTTAGGGTGGGCTTTGACTGTTGAGTCACTGTGTTTTCAGGATCCCTGCTTGAACTTGATCCAGTAGGGTAGTGCTGGCAAATTGGTTTCACCTCGTGTGTTACTGACTGGTAGTGCCTGCCTGGAGCAGGTGATAGTGAGAATTTATCTGACTTTGCAAGAACTAGAGTGCCTTGATGGATCAGTGATGCCTGCCCTAGGAAGAAACAGAACAACCCTGCAGAGCTGCAGGGTCACAGAGAGCAGGGTTGAAGATCAGGCAGTACCTAGATGGGCTCGGCAACAAAGCAAGAGGCGGGAGACTGCGAAGCAAGAATTTAATGCGTGGGAAGGCAGGTTGCTTAGGGTGTAGGCTCCACCAGAGGGACGCTCTGACCCTGGTCTTGGGCCAGCAGACGCAGAAGCAGGGAGTGCAGGGCCCGGCAGACAGGTGTGTAGCCCAGGCGGCTCAGATGCAGATAATCATACATATCATGGTGGCTTATGGTGCCGTCCGAGTGCACAAAGCCAGGGTCGGCATCCAGGAAGTGGGCTCGTGGGTGGCCAGCCAACGCTGCCCGCACCAGCTCGTTCACCTGTCGGTTCTTCTCCCGAAGTGGGTTGGGGTGCTGGCCCCGTGGAAGCAGGCCCTGAGGAGGGGCACCAAGAGTTCTAAGGAGACGTCCTACCAGCATCTGGGTATCGTGCTCTCTGTGCCGTCTCTTCCCCACCCCTCACCAGGAATTTCCTGGCTGCAGACTACCCTAGGGTTGGGAAGGTGGGAGGCAGGGGGAGGGGTTCTCCCTGGTATCATGTCCCAGCCTCCATTCAGTAAGAACCTCCTAGGGGCCCACTTCTTTGCAAGTACCACTCATAAAAATGTTGACATCGTGGTGAGATGGCAATCCTCTCTTTCAGAGGAGCAAAGCGTGCCTGCCAGAAGTCATGGAATCTAGATTCACCCCAGGAACCTGTGACAACCTTCAGCTATTCAAGTGGTATTTTAAGTTTTTTAGCACCGCCCCCCCCCCCCAGAGTCCCTGGCAGTCCCTTGGGCAAAAGGGGCTAATTGGTCCCTGTCATCAAGCACAGCGCTCTGATGGGTGTGGCAAGCTTTACCATGAGATTTCGCCTGAAAGCTAGTGCTCTGTGCCACGCTGCCTGGAACCACGGCAGTTATGATGACATCTGAGGGGGTCCCAACCCATTTCCCTTCTTCCTTCTCCCAGCCTCTCACCAACACTACGACTCGGGCCTGGGGCTGCCGCCGGTTCACCAGTTCCACAATGGCCTTGATGCCACCAGTCACCTGCTCAGCCGTGTGCCCGTGGTTGTTGGTACCCACCCAGACCACCACAATCTGTGGACAAAGGGGGTGTGAAGGGGGCATGAGGCCACAGGGAGGGAACAGGCTAAGGATGCTCTGGCTCCCCACCCCAAGCTCTGCTCACCTTGGGCCGGATGTGTTCAAGCTCGCCATTCTCCAGCCGCCACAGCACGTGCTGCGTGCTGTCACCGCCAATGCCAAAGTTAAGTGCGTGCAGAGGAGAGAAGAGCTCCCGCCAGATCTGTGGGCATGAAGTGGTGTGGACACAGGGGCACTGTCAGTGTGGACTACCACCATCTGTTTAAGTGTTAAGCAAACGCCATTATGGGAGAGCCTTTATGGAAGCTTTATGGAAGACTTAACGGTACCTTTATGGAAGCAATCTGGTTAAATCTCACCTTGAGCAAACACCATTATGGTCGAATCTCCCTTTATGGAAACCTATTACAGTCTCGCTTTCACCAAACCCCTTACAGGCAAGACTAACTTTGTGGAAACCCATTCTACTTGAGCCTTGCACTGAACCAACAGTGTTACAGCTGAACTCCGACTTGCGGAAAAGTATTATGGTTGAACCCAGCTTAGTGGAAAGATGGTACGGTTGATCCCCGCTTTGTGGAGAGCTATTACTGTTGACCTTCGCTTTGTGGACAGCCACTATAACTGAGCTAGGTTGGTGGAAACGTATTAGGGCCGTGCACTATTTTAAGTAAACAATAAAGAGCCTCACCGCAGGCAATCTTCTTGCAGGAAAGCCTTATTCTAAGTCTCACTATAAACAACCCAGCCTGACAAAGCCAGAGGACACATTACCTTCTCAGTAGAATGTTGCACCTTACGCCGAGATTCTCGGTGTCCGGCGCTACCTGAGGCAATTTCGGGCACCCCACACCCCGCCTGGCTTGGGCTCTGGCCCAGGTGTGTCAGTGTGGCCACAAGGCATGGGTAGGGCAGAAGGTGGACGGCACTCACCTCGCACTGGTGCATTAGCTGGACCAAAGAGTCTCCAATGAAGACGACTTCGGGTTCCTTATCTTTGCTGTCGGCCACAAACCGATGGTGCTGTGGGGACGCACGAGGGGGTGTCAATGGCACACGCACTCCTGGACCCGCCCCGCCCTGCTTCCTTAGGCAGCACCACCCCACCTGCCCTCAGTTTCCTAATCGTGTAGTGAGAGCTACACGAACCAATCGCCCTCCTGGAGCCCCCCACCCCGGACTCCTGAGTATAGCAGGGCGAGGTCACTCACCAGGGACATCCAGCGCCCGTCGCCCTGCACGTCCTGCACCGGTGTGGGCTTGCTGGCTGGATTCTCCTCTGCGCTCATCTCGGCTCCGCAGCTCCTGCAGACTGAGCGAACGAGGTAGGCCTGGGTACAGTCCCGGAGGAGGTGGCAGCGCCACGCCCACCCCACCCCCTCAAGCAACAATGGACTGTCCCGACTCCCGCAGTCCCGCGGAGGGCTCAGGCCGATTGAGGACACCGCCTCTTCTGCAGGGGCGGGAACTTCGCTTAGAAGGAGGGGTCGAATTGAGAACCCTAGCTTCCCCTACGGCGGCCTTGCAGTGGGCTCGCCTGGCGCTGGGGCTTTCCGCCCGGGCCACTCACTCACCCACGGCGGCGGCGGCGGCTAGCACACCCGGGCACTGAGGCGGCGAGACCATCCAGCACCTGTGGCGGGGGAGGAGGGAGAAACCACCTCACTGGCCTCATGGGGAGGGGCGAGCCTCAGGAGAAACCGAGAGTGGGCGGGGAAAATCTAGCGCCCTTCCTTGGTGGAAGGAACCATTTGCGGGGGGGGGAGAAGGCGAGAACTGTGCGGAAGGGACCACCTACTGTGAGGGGGTGTGCCCCATTCAAGTGGTGGGGGGAGGGGAGCCAGTGGACGACTCCATTCTTGGATCCCTGGCGGGGGTGGCTATGAGAAGACGCTCCCATTTTCTACTGATGTGGGAGAGAGAAAAAGAACACAGCAAATGAAAGATTAGAGGCTCAGTTCTAAGGAGACACTATTAAGGCAGAGCCAGGGCTTTAGTGAGCCTATCTGTTCGTGGGCCTCCCCTGCTCAAAAACACTTTTTGTGGCATAACATCTAAACTCTTTATCTTTGCATTCAAGGCCGTACAGGCCCTGCACGGAGTGCAGAAGAAGGTGCATAAAGAGAAAGGAAATTAGAGTCGCCTCCAGCGCCCAGGTTCAGCCTGGCATCCCTCCCCCAGCTCATCTTGCAGATCCGTGGCCTCTGCTCCCCTCCCTAAACCCACTGGCAGACCAACAACTTCAGCTGGGTCTGTCTGGGCTCTGAAACCCAGATCCCAGAGCCAAGTTCCCCTAGGGTCACCCCGATCTCAAATTAATCTCAGACTTCAGTGTCTTCCTAGATTTTCCTGTTCTCAGGGACCAGGTGAAGGTCTCCACTCCCCCCTTAACATCCTGGTCATTTTCTTGCAGTGCCACTCCCGAGTGGAACCTACAAATCTATTTATTCCTTCTAGAAAGGGTGATGCTAGACATAGATACGAATTTATTTATTCTGTTTATGTTCTGCCTCAATCCATTAAAATCTGAGCTCTATGAGCGCAGGGATTTCGGTCCCTTGGTTCCTGGAACAGGGGGCAGAGGGAGGAGGGTAGTGGCCTAGCAGATAGCACCTGCTCAACAAGTACTTGCTGAGTGACTATTAAACGAATGGGTCAAAGGTAGGGGTGAGGTGGGTAGCTTCCTAGAAGAAGTAGTATCTGAGCTAGACTTTGAAAGATCATGAAGACTGACAAGCAGAAAAGACACCCAATAAATATAGTTTATCAGGGAAAGGGGAATACCCTGGCATGGCTTGATTTTAAAGTTTGAGGGGAAAGGTGTGGACAGATAAGTTGGAGGGGTAGAGGGGTAGTTCGTGAAGCAAAGCTTTGTTGTTGTTAGGTGTCATCGAGTCAGTTCCGACACATAGCGACCCTATAGTGAGAAGCAAAGCTTAGAGGCATTCATTCATTCAGAAGGCAGGATTTCAAGTTAAACGTACTGGCTCAGTTAATCCTTATAACAACCCTATGAGGGAGGTACTATCATCAACCCCATTTTACAGATAAGGAAACTGAGACTCTGGGTGGTTAAAAAGTTTTTCCAAGATCACACAGCTCAAATGCGCCAGTTTGGACGTTTGAACCTAGATAGACTGGCTCCAGAGGCTAGGACACTAAATTGACTCTCCAGGAATGAATTCTGAACTGGGACCAAGCCCTGGGAAGGTGGCTACTGCCTGGGGATTGACTGGGACCAGGGTTATCACGACTCTCCTCTGAACCCTTTGGCCTCGCCTCATTTCCAGCTCCAGACAGAAAACTTGCCCGTAGCTGTCTAAACCAATCAGCTTTTCAGGGGGGGGCGGGCCTAGTGGACCTCACAGCCAATTGGTGGATGGGAGATGCCTAAGGACAAATGAGAGAGGTTTCCGAAAGTGAGGCTGGGAGTGGTGGGGCTATAACCGGCACTCTGGGTCCCCGCCGCGTGCCCGGGGCCTCGTGTGTCTTTGGGGCAGGGTAGCTGCGCATGCGTATGGTGCGCATGGGGCCCAGTGGTGTGAAGCCGGAAGAACACAAGGCGGCTTGGCGAGCTGGGGTCACGGCAGAAAAGAAGGCATTGCGCCTTCATCCACGTGGGGTGGGAGGAGGACGGGGTTCGCTGGGGCAGGAGAAGTGCACCTCTTCCCCCTCTACCCTCTGCCCCTCCCCCCTCACCGCTTCCCTACCTCAACTGCCCAACCCTGTCTGTGTCCTACTCTAGGCCTCTTCTCATGACCAGGCCTCTGTCCTGATCGCTCCTCTGCCCCCTTCTGCACTCCTGATGTTTTCTCAGACTCTGCAACATCTTCTCTTGGACATTTCGTGTGTCTCTGTTCTCTGTCTTTTTCTACTGTCCTTTTCCACTTTCTGCGTTCTCTTTTACCTCCCTGGGTTTCTCCTCTGTCCACAATCCCTTTCTGGGCCCACAGATCCCTCCCCTGTGTCATGATCCCTTCCCATCCCCAATCTTTTTCCTATTTCCCCATGTCCCTATTACCAACAACCCTTTCTCTTCCCTGACATCACTTCCCATTATCTATGACTCCCTTGACCTCTCTCTATCTCTATGCTCCTTCCCTGATCTCCAAGCCTTTTTTAATCCTCCTTTCCCGCTCTGTTTCCTGGACTTCTTCTTAAATCCCATGCTCATTCATGCTTCCACACTCCCTGTACTTTGTTTTGACTTGTTTCCTCTAGCCCTAACTGCTCATCTTTGCCCAATAACCCAGGCCCTGGGTCTTCAACCTCTCCTCTGATCCCTATTCCTCCCAGCTGTGTCACTGCCCGTCCCTTTTGCTCTCTGTCCACTCTCTCTCTCGTCCCTGTACATAGTACCTCCTCCTCACCCAAATTTTCTCCTCTTCTCACTACTGAATTTTAGGCCCTTGGCTTATCTGCATGCTGATGACTGCCTTGTCTTACCTACCAGGACACCATGGACCCTCGGGGGCCAGCTCCCCAACCTTTCCAGCAGCCTGAGAAACTGGGTCGTGTCCGCCGTCGGAAGACCAGGCGGGAGCGTAATGAGGCCCTGGTGGGCAGCCGGCGGCCAGCATCCCGTCAGGATCCTCCAGTGGCCAGTCGGGAGCCAGATGTGACCCGTCAGAAGCCACCTGTGGCCCTCCGGAATCCTGTGGCCCCTGCTGCCCCCAAGCTCGTGGTCATAACCCAAAGCCGGCTGAGCCGGGAGCACTGGGGTCTCTTCAGCCACGAGGTTAAATCCCTGGACGTGGCACGACTGCTTAGCAGTAGGGTCCTGGAGCCAGGTACCCCCCCACTTCCCACCAGGCCCTCCCCAAGCCTGGAGAGCACCCAAGAACCAGCCCCACAGTCAAGGGGCAAGGAGAACCAGTTGCCTGGAGGCTCCGGCCCAGGCCCACCCAGTCCCCCAGAGCTCCCTGGCATGGGTCAGCTGCTGCAGGAGCTGCAGTGCCACCTGATTCTGCCACAGGCCTTCCCCAGGAGGAACTTGGTGCAAGAGGCCAGGGACACCATTGTAGGCACCTTACAGGCCTGTCATGGCTGTGTGCCTGACCTTGCCCTGGTGCTTCGCGATTGCCAGCCACCCTTGCCAGGTAAGCCCAGCTCCTGCCCCCTGCTCTTCATTTCCCCTCATCTGCTCTAGCTCAGCTGTTCCCCATGCTTCTTTTCTCTGTGCCAGGAACCAAGCCCAGGGACCCTGAGGGACGAAGGATGACACCCTCCTGGATCAACAGCCCTGAGCAGGCCCCAGGAGAGGGGCAGCAGAGGAGGAGACGGGGGGCAAAGGAGCTCAACTTCAACATGGGTCACGCCTCCAGCACTCCCACTGCACACAGGGCAAGCCTGGCACCACCAAGGGGCCCCTGGCCGCCCCCCTTGCCTTCATTACCTTCACCATCTGGGGCAACCTGGAGTCCCCCAACAGCCTTTGACCTGCTGAAAAGCATCTGGCTGGTAGCCACGCCACCCCCTCCCCGGCCCCCACCCCCTCCCCGGGGGATCGGCCCTCCACAGCCCCTGCCTCAGCCGCCATCTCCTTTGTTGTGCAGAACCTCGGCCCTAGACTGGAGCCCCAGCCCCCCTGCCTCGCTGCCCAGTCTTTCCTGGGTGGTAGCCCAGAGCAGCCCTGAGGCCTGGTCCTTTCCACCCATGAGACTGTACTGAGGGAACTGAGGCAAGGCTGGGGGCAGGTATCCCAAACTCCCAATCTCCTCAATAAAGTACCTTTTTCATGGCCCTCTTGATTTTCAGTGAGTGGCTGGCAGGGGACAAAAGAGGCAGCTTTCCCCAGTTCTGGGTCCAAGATGGAGGGGAAGGTGCTGTCACTTGCCGCTTTCTTAGGGGCCATGGGTTGGGGGGGAAGAGACCTAGGACTTGAGTACACACATACACATTCAGGCTACCAATGTACCAGTCACTGAACTCTGGCAATGCTGGGGCCCCAGAATGAGTCAGACGAAGACCCTGTCCTCATGAGACTCCCCGTCCAGTGATAAGCACAGAGGCCCCTGTAGTTGTATCTGGAAGAGAGAGAGGCGCAGGGCCCGAAGCAGTCTGAGGGAGGGAAGTGATGACTCTGCCCCAGTGATGAGAGAAGTCTTCACAGGAGCTGACACAGATGCTGTTTTTAAAGATTGGTAGAAGTTTGCTGTTAGAAGAGGAAAAGAACATTTCAGGCAAGGGCAACAGCATATGTAAGGCCTGAAAACCAAACCCACCGTCGTTGAGTCAATTTTGACTCAGTGACCCTATAGGACACTGAGTGAAACTGCCCCACAGGGTTTCGAAGGAAGGGCTGGTGGATTAGAACTGCCAACTTTTTAGTTAGGAGTCGAGCTCTTAACCTGCACCACCAGGGCTCCCTGTAAGACCTGGAGGAGGGCAAATAGTACATGTGGGACCATTCTGGCTTAGCCCATATCCCTTGGCTATGCTGGGACCTAGAGTGAGTCATGTCTGGGCCCTGCCCTTCTGAGGGGCTCCTGGTCTGGTGGGGCATAGGGAACAGTGTGTGTGCAAAATCTGGGTAGGAATGGAAAAGGAGCAAAACCCACAGACTGAATCTGGCCCGCAGATTTCTTTGGCCCATGGTATATTTTAAAATTTTTGATCGGTTGCCTACCTTTAACCAATTAGTTTGCTTTTTTAAATATTGTATTTCTGGTTTCTCTCTCAAAAAAAAAAAAAAAAGACCTCAGGCAGCAGACCTACAATCCCACGTGATAACAAGTGGCCCAAGCCAAGCAGCACAGCCCCCTTATCAGGGGGCCCAGGCTCTCCAGTGATTGTTTTACTTGCTTATGTTTCTGCTTACCCTTTGGCTTAGATTTTTTTTTTTTAAATGATGTTTTGAGCAGCAGTGATTTTTCTGCAGTGGAGGGGAAGGCATGAAGCTAGAGATGTTTGTTGGAGTCTGGTCAGGAAAAACAAGCTGAGGGGCTTGGACTCTACTTTGTAAAGCCTTCCCAGGGCTCCCCACTGCCCACTGGGAAATGAGAGGATCCACAGGGTGGGAGCTGAAAGACTCTTTCTGTACTGGCAGTGGAGGGACTGGGCCAGGAGATCATAAAGCTTAGTGACTGGGCCAAGGTCATATGGTGAGAAAGTGGAAATGTGGAGATTTGAACTCAGTCAACTTATTTCTGAATCCATGCTGCTGAGCATCTCACAACGCCACTTCTCTATTTTACAGCGACTTGGTGTCACACCCTGGTATCAGGGACAGGAAAGGGCTAGGCAATGGGGTGTGGTAGTTGTAGCTGAAGATTCTCTGCCATCTCCGTGCTGTGTGACCCAGAACAAATGGCTTGCCCTCTCTGACTCTGTGTCTCCGTAAGCATCTCACGGAGTGCATCAGACCTGGAAGCGGCAGCTCAGGGATGGGCACGGAACTGGGGGTAGCTGTCATGGGGGTGGGGTGAGCAATCAAAGAGCTGTTTGGTGGCTAAACTAGAGGGAGGTGAGGACGGAGCTCGAGCATGGGGCTTGTTTAGGACATGGGAAGACGGAGCCATCAGCGAGACTCTCGGAGGGGAAAGCTAGGACTGGGGCAGGGTGGCAAAGACTGGGAAAGGGGCGTCCCCTCCCGCGGGGAGAGGGAAAGGGCCAGGCTGGCGGGTCCTGGAGGAGGGGGGAGGGGGAGCGCGGCGCCCGGCGTTCCCTTTAATCGGGGGCGCGCGCTGGCCGGCCCGCGCGCTCTCGCCGCCGTCGCCGGGCCGGAGCCGGAGTGGAGCCGGGGCCAGGGCCAGAGCGGGCGGAATGGAGCCTTTGCGCACGCCCGCGCTGCGCCGCCTGCTGCCGCCGCTGCTGCTCCTCCTGCTACAGCTGCCCCCCCGCGCCCGGGCCAAGTACGTGCGGGGCAACCTCAGCTCCAAGGAGGTGAGCGCGCCGGGCCCCCGGGGGACGGGAGGGAGGGGAGCGGAGAAGGCGCCGCCCCGCCCCCTGCCTCCCCTCCGGGCCGGACCCTGGGGGCCACGGGGGGATGGAGGCGGGGGTGGGGGGCTGGATCAGTGTTTGGTTTGAGAAGACCCATGAGGTCGAGGCCAGACTCGGGGGTTGTAGGAGAGACGCTGAGGTCAGAGCTGGGCGGGGTGGGGGTTGGGGGGGTTGGAGTTTGGGCGGGGGTGAGGGCGGCCAAGGTGGTGCTGAAGGGACAGCACTTTTCACTCTGCAGAAAGCCCCGAGTTCTTCACTCTCCTGCTGAGGACCAGGCGGGGCAGTTTGGAAGATTCCCCAGCACTGAGTGGCCTCTGGGACCACCGTGGGGGCGGGGGCGTGTGTGAATGACTGGGGGGAAGCCTGTGGATGGTGTCCGGGACAGAAGGTGACCAGGCTGGGGATCTGGCCCTCCGGGGTCTTTCTGAAGGCAGCTGGGAAATGGGAGGTGGAGTGTTTGAGGAGAGGGGAGGAAACTTGGGCGTCTGGGGAAGAGAGTCTGGGGGCAGAAATCCTGTATCCAAGGTGAAGGAGTCAGGGAAGAATTTTGGAGGTGACTTGGTCTCCTTATGGCACCTGGAACACCAGGTGTTAGTGTAGGGGAGAGAAGTCAGATGTGGAGGGACTCAGAAGAGGATCTGACTGGGCCCCTTTTCCAGGACTGGGTGTTCCTGACAAGATTTTGCTTCCTCTCGGATTACGGCCGACTGGACTTTCGTTTCCGCTACCCCGAGGTGACTCTCCCCCAGCCACTCTCCCCGCTGAGGCTAGATGTGCCCTTGGCCTATCAAGTCGAGGGCTACCCCAGCTCCCCACACTCCCCCAATCCCTGAAATCTCTGGGTCTGCAGGCTAAGTGCTGTCAGAACATCCTCCTCTATTTCGACGACCCATCCCAGTGGCCAGCTGTGTACAAGGCAGGGGACAAGGTGAGGGCTGTGGGTGGGGGCGGGGGCAGGAGGTCTTGGCTGGCCAGGAAGTAACTGTGTCCCTGCCTCCCCAGGACTGCCTGTCTAAGGAGTCGGTGATCAGGCCGGAGAACAACCAGGTCATCAACCTTACCACCCAGTACGCCTGGTCAGGCTGTCAGGTGGGTGCCCAGCCTGGGAAGTGGGCAGGTGCTGAAGATCTAGGGCCTGGGAGGTGGTGAGGACAGGCTTCAGCCTTCTTACTTCTCCCCAGGTGGTGTCAGAGGAGGGAACTCGCTACCTGAGCTGCTCCAGTGGCCGCAGCTTCCGCTCAGTTCGTGAAAGGTGGTGGTACATTGCACTCAGCAAATGTGGGGTAAGAGGCTGGGGTGGCCACCTGGGCCTTCTCCTCTTTGCCTTTCTGCTGACCCCCTACCTTCCCAGGGCCCCCCTTAGGCCTCCACACTCCCCACAGGGTGATGGCCTGCAGTTGGAGTACGAGATGGTCCTCACCAATGGCAAGTCCTTCTGGACACGGCACTTCTCGGCTGATGAGTTTGGTGAGCACAAGGGGACCTAGAAGCCAGGGTCTTTGTGGGAGCCCAGAGCTGTGTACCTGCTGAGGGACACCCAGCTTAAATTAATTATCTTCTTCTACCAAATCTGCAGGGATTCTGGAGACAGATGTGACTTTTCTTCTCATTTTCATCCTCATCTTTTTCCTCTCCTGTTACTTTGGATGTGAGTCCAGCACATGGCTGGGAAAGGGTGTTAGGAGATATGGGGAGTAGGGTTGGGGGAGATGAGCTGCTCTCCCTTCCTGTCAAGGAACAACCTTTCCCTCCCCTTGTTCTCAGATTTGCTGAAAGGTCGTCAGTTACTCCACACAACTTACAAAATGTTCATGGCAGCGGCAGGAGCGGAAGGTGAGCATCCCATCTTTGGAGTCCTGTGGGAGGAAGGGCTGGGGGCCAGGACTCCTGGGTCTGTGGGAGGAAGGGCTGGGGGCCAGCACTCCTGGGTCTGTGGGAGGAAGGGCTGGGGGCCAGGACTCCTGGGTCTGTGGGAGGAAGGGCTGGGGGCCAGGACTCCTGGGTCTGAGGGAGGAGGGGGCTGGGGGCCGGGACTCCTGGGTCTGAGGGAGGAGGGGACTGGGGGCCGGGACTCCTGGGTCTGTGGGAGGAGGGGCTGGGGACCAGGACTCCTGGGTCTGAGGGAGGAGGGGGCTGGGGGCCTGGACTCCTGGGTCTCATGGAGGAGGGGGCTGGGGCCTGGACTCCTGAGTCCTGGAGGAGGAAGAGGCTGGGGACCCAGACCAGAGTCTCCTAGGAGGTCAGTGGGAGTAAAGGGTCTAGAGTTCTGTTGGGGATGGAGGAGGGGTTCTAGCCATGTAGTGCCAGGGGACAGCGATGCCCAAAAGCTGGCTTCTGTCCTTCTTCCCTTCACCCATCCTCTCTGCAGTCCTCAGCCTCCTGTTGTTCTGCATCTACTGGGGCCAGTATGCCATGGACGGCATTGGCAACGAGAGTCTGAAGATCTTGGGTGAGGGTGAAGTGGGGCCAAGGGAGGGTGGAGCCTCAGCTGGGGCCCCTTCTCTGAGCCCCGTCTCTGAGCCCCCCTCTCCTCCCTTCTCCCAGCCAAGCTGCTCTTCTCCTCCAGCTTTCTCATCTTCCTGCTGATGCTCATCCTTCTGGGGAAGGGATTCACGGTGACACGGTGCCCGGGATGGGGTGGGAGGGAGTGCTCGGGGGTGGCTGGGCTGGGGAGCAGGGCAGGGGGGGCGGGTTTGGGGGGTGGCCACGCCCTCCTTCCTGACGGCCCC